GATGACGAGGTGCTTTGGGAACGTTTCAGGTAGTCATAGCTCTCCGTGGTCAAGTTACCACCCGTAGACGCCCGGAATTTGTCGATGGACTGCAGCATACCAGGCCAAGAGATCATACCAGTACTCCACATGAAGTTTGAGGAGAAGCTGCGATAGACTTGGGGGTAGGCAACACTGAGCATGCCATTGGTGGCCATGGAATGGAACCAGCCCATTACATCGCCAAATCCAGGGCTGGAAGACGGTGATCCAGCAGTTCCCGCCGAGCCGATGGCAGAGACACCGCTCAGTGCTAGAGCGCCCGCCGCAATTCCTGCCGATGCGTATTTAACCGCGCCGACGTTGGTGGTGTGGCCGTTGGACAGTGAGGACTCGATACACGCCACGTTCTTCTGGGCTGCCTTGGACTTAAGAACAAGCTTTGCCTGACCATCCAAGTCGGGGATGCTGAATGCGATACCAGGGATCTGGCTAGCGTATTCAGACGGAACTTCCATGGATCCGCTGGCCTTGAAAGTACCCTTGGGGACGGGGCAAAGTTCGTCGACATGAATTTCCGTGCCGCAGGGATCAAATTCTTTGCTGTAGATTTCGTTGCCATAGGCAGTGACGGTGATAGACGCCGACACATTCTGTTCCATCGCGTTGGTACCAGCCACGTCGAAGACAACTACTCCAGTAGAGCGAGTGTAGGTAACATCCATCTTTTGGACGTTGATTGCGGAATCGGTCATGCATAGGCTGAATCCGTTCGTGGATAGGGTGTCGGCTGCCAGGGCTTGAGGCACGATGGCCAGGCCTAGCAGAGCCCAGACGAAGTTCTGCATGTTGGCCAAGCACAATTAATATTCTATACGATATACCAATCTGACTCTAACAGTTTGAACCAAGGAGGCGCGTATTCATCCAGGATGTAGGGATCGATTGGCGCGATGATCGGGCGGGTTGGTAACGATATATGGAGCGACTGTGGGTAAGTCACAGGGGGGGGAAGCAAAAAGCAAAGGCAGGATCAACCCGCTATAGAAAAGAAATCAAAAGATCAATAGTAATAAATGAGTCGAGGGGGTCGCGAGGACGAGGTGGGATTGTGAGACACTGGTTTTCGAGCAACCAGGAACTGTAAATAACGAGAGACAATTAAACGAGGGTGGTTGGAGAGAGGAAGCGATTGGAGATTAGTGAATGGAATTTCCCCCTCTCGCAATGCGATGATCTGTGAAAAGAAGAAAAGAGAGAGGGAGGAAAGTCTCGACCGTAGATTACACGACTTTACGATTAGTCTAAACTTGGCCCCTGAATTTGGGACTGATTGGCTCTGGCCCGTTTCAGTCTAGACCTAACACTCGGTATGTTACTATTTCCATTAGACTTGGTATTTATACTTTAATTTTATTCTCTTTTTTGTCTTTATTATTTTACCCAAAATATCGTTCTGCTCCCATATGAATAAAAGGAGTTGACGTGTACATAACCAAACAATTTGAACCTTGGAAGCTCATAATGGCCCGGGGGGATTTAAAGCTTTCCTCCAGATCAGATCCAAGGTTTACCACTTCAGTTACCACGGTACCAGCCTAAGAATCAGCCCAAAGGAGGTGGCACTAAAAGTTCTCCCGGTCACCCACCCATGGAAACGCATTCCTCCCCACCCAATCGAGGAATTTCCCTAAATAACGCCACACCAAGCCACACGGGATGTCAATTATCTCTAGCGCTTGCGAATTATGATTCGACCATTCAAATTAATCCAAATATATCACGGAGTTCGCCCAACTCGATGGTACCTGCAGAGCCGAAACTTGAGTAGCCATGGTCCGCTTCTTCATATGGTCCAGGTGTAAATCGAACATCCCTATCACTGCTTATGTATGACGTGTGCCCCTCGCGGGGTGTCGCACGTAAGCCCCCGATGAGAACAAAAAGCTGCAGGGCTCAAGCAGGCTGAAATGCCGATCAAAAATCCTCGCACAATCCCAGTTCTAGACTTACTTTGGTGGGCCCCTTGCAGGCTTCTGGATGGACACATAATGTTCTTGGTGAAAATCTTGTTATTGTGCACGCGACCAATCGAGTCCAGAACACTACCGGCACAAACAACATATGAATCACATTTATGTGTGCACTGCACACACATCTCAGAAACTATGAAGGTGTAAAACATAAAATTTGAGACCTGTGTGGGTTCACCCTATGGTCCGATCATCAATGTGAGACAGGGCCAAGCGCTGGGGTGCCGCCCTAAATCACAGGTATTCTATTCTTGTCTTTTTTGAGAGCCTATAGCACACCTCAATAATAATAATTATGATTATTATCACGATGACAGCCTCCTACCATGCTTACTCGTTATCCATACATAATTCTACACTACACTGTTGCTAGAGAATAGCTACGGAGTAATCCGTGAAAACTTTGCAGATATTTATCGGATTGGTTTCATTTCATGGTTTCAGGTTAATTATTTACCAATGAACAGAACAAACCCTTAGATGATATTAAATGGAGCAACTACAAAATAGGGGCCCATCCCCAGGAAGAGGTCCACCAAGAAAATCTTAATGAAAGAAACGTGAAAAACTTCCTACTTGAGGGTTAAATACGAAGTATAGAGTAAAAATTTAAGATAAATCGTAGATGCTTTTCTTAAACTCCTCAACGATTCAAATATTGTAAGAATAGCCTACAACATACTACTTATCCAGCAATGTGTTTCACCTAAGCACGACAACATAGGACTTTGATGACTTTAATATTAAATATGTACTCCGTATCTAAACTCGAGATAATGTCTAAGATCATGCTGCAATATATGTTTCAATGTCTTGTTTTCTTTTACAGTTAATACCCAAACGTTGAAATAACTAATAATAATCGCAAACGACAGAATATTCGTGACGTTAAGCATAATTCTTACAAACGACCATGTGTAACCTGTAATGTATACAACAGAGACAGAAATGAGAGAGACATACTCCGTAGGTCCTCCGTACTTCGTGCTCCGTACTCCCTTCCTGTGAGAGCCAAGCACCCGGCAGAAAATGTGATATCCATACCGCCTGCTACATCGTGACCAACAAAGACTCCTATTCCACCCCCCTCATCACCTCTCTCCTCAGGCACAAGCTTGCTACCATGGGGCCTGAGGGGCTCGAGAAGCCTGAGATTCCAGATAAACCCGAGAAAAAATCTCGTCGACGTGGGGCCGAACTCGATCCGTTCCTTCGCACCCGGCTCTGTGTGCTCAGAACCACAGCCAAATGGACATACAAACAGATCCAAAATGAATATCCACATATTCCCCTCTCAACCATCAAATCAACCATTCTCCGAGAGAGCAATCGTGTCAATAACCACTCACAAGCCCGCTCTGGCCGACCGTCCAAACTGAAGGAGGAAGATCGAGCCCGAATCCGTGAGGCGTTCCATGCGAATCCTCAAGTTACATACGATGAACTGCTTGTGGTGGTTGATTATAAAGTTGGCAAAGAGTCGCTTCGTCGGTTTTTGAATGATGATGGTCTGAGGAAGACTCAGACGCCTGGTCGGTCTTCTTTGGCTGGGAAAGGAGCTACCAAACAAGTTGATGGGGCCCACCCTGTTCAGTCATATGACACACCTCCCGCTGGCTGGGCTGGTGATTTTGGATCTGGTCTAGTACCCAACGAGTCAGATTCTGCGTCTGCTACAGCGAGTCGAATTGCCGGCAATTAGACGACTTGTTGAAAGAGATACCCTGTGATTTTCGGCGTTGTGCGTTCATTTGGGGCTACCTGCTCTATTATCAAACCAATTTTATTTAGCGTGTCATGACAAATATAAGTTATATGGGACATACGGGCATTGGAGTGAATCTTTTGTGGTAGGATTGGTTTTGTGCAAGCTATTATATGGCTTCAAATGTCACATTGTGGACAATTAGTCCCAATTTGCATTTAGTATCTAAAATACAGTGTGTTCAACATTACTATATTATCAATCCGGTAGCATACGTAACTTCTTGATTCCGGGAGCCTTTGTCGGGTCTTTGTTTTTGGGCGGCTTGTTTGTATCATGCTAATTGTCTCAGATATAAAGTGTGAGAAATTGCAGGTAACATGCTAGTAGAATAGACCCGTTCATGGTCCTAAGACAGAAAATGGAGCATACTATGTAGTCAGACCGAAGATCTGGGTAAATCATATCCATTTGGGGTAAATGTTTTGGTTAAATACGAGAATGGAGTTATTTTTGCGGCATATGCGGACCCAAGAATAGAATATGACATGAATATTGCTAGATCTTTGTCTTGAGTTCCAGAAACGGTTACAAACGAGCGGTACTTCATTATCTCTGCCCTTGGATGTACCTGCCTAAGTAGTTCCCGGGGTATTCTATATGGAGGGAAAGATCATGAGGGCCAAGTAGGGCTTCGGCTTTGTTCTATAAATAGTCACGCAACGGGACGTAGCACGGGCAGGACAAGTATTGACATACTTACAGCCATGTGGTTCGTCTTTATTTTGAGGTACAAGTGTAGGTATTCTTTCATTTTAGTCGATTATGTTTGTCGCAAACATTGTGTTCATGCCTTGTACGTCTGACTTCCTTCCAAGCTTGCAGTCTTTACTCTCCCTTCCGCTCCCTATAATCGAATGGGGAATTAAATGTTGGCGCAGGAAGAGTAGGGCGAACAAAAATATGTAATTCTTTTACCAATTTAAAGAGAGACTAAGCTCTGCTGCTCAATGTGAGGAGTGAAATATTGAATTATCTGACTCAGGATAATTACACTCGCTCGATATGTCACATGTTGGGATCCAATGCAAGCATCAATCAGATGAAGTTATCAATCAGATGAGGTTGCATCGTAAGAATAAAAAGCCCATGCCGACAAAACAGCAGGGAAACACAAATTGTCCATATGAGAACAACACCATACGCCGGGGTATTCTCCTTTTCCCGAAAAGCAATCGCCATGCAAAGAAAGAAAAATCGTTAGATAAATGACAAAGATCAGCTCATTCCATCATCACATCTTCCGCCGGAGTGGCAGTAGTGGAAGGCACGACGGAAACATCAGTCATAGCATTGTCACCATCTGCATCAAGTGTAGGGGTGCTTTTCTGCGAGTGAGACTCAGGGGTAGGGGTAACACCATCGCTGGCCGCATCATCGTCAGATTCGGTGGCATTCTCATCGACCTCTGCCCACACACGAACAGTCTTGTCCACTCCGCAGCTCACAACCATACGTTTGCCGTTCAGTGTACCCGTATGAACACAAAGCACAGCACCCGAGTGACCAGTAAGGCGTTGCAGAATTTGCTTGCTCACAATATCCCAGAAGAGGATAGAACCATCCTCACTGCCGCTGACAGCGAAACACAGAGGCTGGTCGTAGGTTACGTTGGGGGGCCATAAGTACCAAAGCATCCCGACAAGCTGTACTTATCGTTGACATGGCCTTGGAAAGTTTTAACGACGCGACTCTCAACATAGCTCCACATCCGAATGCAGCCATCCAGGGTCCAGGCCAAGACGTACTTGCCGTTGGGGGAGAACTTGACGCATGTTGCAGGCGGGTTATCTTCCATGACCAGGGTGCGGAGACACTGGCCGCTGAGAGTGTCCCAGATACGAATGAGTCCATCCAGAGCGCACGACACAATGAGGGTTCCATCATGTACAACATCAATACCGGCAACAGGGTCGGAATGAGCGGGAAGGGATCGCATAACCTTGGCTCGGCGAACATCCCACATAAACACGGCCTCGTCGTAGGAACCACTGACAAGGATGTTACCCTTCGGTGCGAATGCAATTTGATACACATAGTTATGGTGACCATCAAAGACCTTTGTGTGGGGCCTGAGCTGCATCCAAGTATTAGTAAAAGACCTGAGGACAAAAACAATAGATGGGTTTCTTACAGTGTTCACGTTCCAGAAGCGAATAGTTTTGTCATCGGAACCGGTAGCAATCCAACCACCATCAGGGGTCCAAGCAAGGGTAGAAATACCAGCTAGATGTCCCTCAAAGACGTGAATAAGTCTACCACTCGCAGTGTCCCAGACCCTGAGAGCTGCGTCGGCGCCTATTGTGCAAAGTTAGTTTACAAGTCACGTAGTAGCTAGATCATAAGTATAAAACATACCAGCACTAGCGATCATAGTACAATCAGGCGAGAATTGAACAGCCGACACTCCGCGTAGGTGACCGCGCATAACAAACTTCTCCTTGTAGTTTAGATGCTCGGGCTTGGGAGGTGGCGGAGCAGCAAGAGGCGTTGCAGAACGGTCGGACCAGTTGTCGTTAGGATTGACAGCCTGGTTCTCATCGGAGCCAGTCACGTCGCCTTCCACATGATCATCCGAGCCGCCCTGCGAATGGTCGTCATGGATGGGAGTGCGGTTGATTGGCGAAGCGCTTCGGCGACGGTTGCGCATGCGTGAGGAACGCCAATACTCGTCGGCATCCACAGCTAGCTCGTCGGGGCTTTCGGACTCGCTGTACAAGCGGCCGGACTTCTTGGGGCGAAGTGGGGTGAAGCCCTTCTGCATAGTCCAGCTGGCGCGACGGCGTTCGGCTTCGTCATGGTCGGAGCCGGCGGCGAGTTCATCGGATGAGGACTCGGCGGGAGATTGGGCGCGAGGGTCCCGGCGGCGAGGCTGGGGATCCATTGTACAAGAGGGATGCGTAAAGCATCCAAAGAAACAGAAGCAAATGCGACGAAAATATGTCAACAATCACCGATTTCGAGCCCCGATATGAAAATTAATCGGACGCGTCGCGAGGCATAATACCAAGGCGGTGTGGTATTTTCCGAGCGGTGAGCCCAAGGGCACCCTTTGTTGGCTGCGTCATACTAACTGGCCCACCCTCGTAGACTGTCAGGTGGAACAACATCGATCTTTGTTTAGCACTTTATTGAGCTCTTCCTGGTCGATCAATAGCCCTAAATTTAGCTTTCAAAGCCCACCCCGGTCAATACCAGGCCCAATGGCTAGCTCTATCCCATCCAAAGCTCCAAGTGACATCCGCATTCTCACTTTCAATTGCTGGGGTCTCAAATACATCGCCAAGTACCGCCATGAACGCATGTCGGAGATTGGGCGGCAGTTGGCAGTAGCCAGCCCGCCGCCAGAGATAGTTGGACTGCAAGAATGTTGGACACAGAAGGATTATGAAAGCATTCGCGACCAGACTCGACACATCCTGCCGTATGGCAAATTCTATTACGGGGGCATATTTGGCGCGGGATTGGCGATTCTGTCAAAATGGCCCATCGAGGAAAGCAGCATGTTCGGCTACCCATTGAATGGCCGACCAACAGCATTCTTCAGAGGAGATTGGTTCGTTGGGAAGGGCGTGGCCAGCGCACGTGTTCGGTTCGGCCCTGGTACCGCTGATGTCGCCGAGGTGTTCTGCACTCACCTGCATGCGCCGTATGAGCGTGAACCGAACGACTCCTATCTCTGTCACCGGACTGCGCAGGCATGGGAGATCGCTAAGCTAATGCGCGGCGCTGCGGAGCGCGGCCATTTAGTCATCGGCCTGGGCGACTTTAACATGCTGCCTTCCTCTTTCGCGCACCGTCTCATCACCGCTCAGAGCCCCGTTCGCGATGCCTGGCGCGAGCTGCATCCAGACTCATCTCTGGCGGCAGCAATCGATCCTGTAGAAAAAGCACGGAATCGGCCTATTCCCACCGCCGAGTTCAATCTCGCCGAAAATGGAGCTACATGCGACGGGTCATTTAATACCTGGCGCTGGACTGAGGAGATGCGCAAGCGTCTGGCCAAGGGTGAGGATATTGTCATTGATAAGGATACCCCAGACCCGCGCGGTAAACGTCTGGATTATATCTTCATCGGCGACGGTGGCTACCCGCCTTCATTCCCGCCGTCTACCTGGTCCGTTGAGTCAGTTCAAATCTCCATGACACAGCGCCATCCCACTCTGCTGTGCTCCCTGAGCGACCATTTCGCCGTCGAGGCTGTCATCACCCGTTCTTCGGTACCAACATACCCTCCTTCTCACCCCATAGAGTCTGCCCCAATCTCTCCTGATTCTCCTGAATTGCACAAAACAACTTCAAAGCCCGTCTCCCCCAATGCCGCCCTTTCACCAGAAACATACGACCACATTATTGAAATCATCCACAAATATGTGACCCGTGAACGCTCTCAGCGCCGCTGGCGTCTGGCACATTTCCTAGTGTCTATTGTGGTTTCTATTGGTTGCATGGTTGGTGTGTGGTGGGTTGGCAGCCGCACGTACATCGGATTCATCCTCGTCCTAGTTAGCACGCTCAACTTCGGCGCTGGTATTTTGGATGGTTTGATTGGTGGGCTGTTCATGTCGGGTGAGTTACGTGCCTTGAAGGAGTTTGAGTGGGAGGTGAGCAATGCTAGGAGCTTGGTGGTTGCCGCCGAGGCTAGTGCGGGTACTGCATCGGAAGAAACGGCGAGAGAACAGAAGGATAATTGATTGTTTTTTCTTACAAGCTAGTTTGTGGAAAAAGATTGATTATACGTGGGGGACGTGGCTGGATTGCGTGGCTTATCTTGTTTATATTAGGTTACGAAAGTGTAGTATAACATATGCGTGGCTAGTATTACGCTCAACTGGCAAAACTAATTCATAATTCGAAAGCAAGATCAACTTCTCGAGATACAGTAATACGGTACTTGTTCTACGCATTCAAACAAAGGAGTACGGAAGAGTATTTTCACGAAACGAGTGTGAAGTGCATTCAAGAAATCATCATCATCAAAGCTGCATAAACCTTCACCGAGTCCACCAGCATCAAACAAGAAGCAGGCAGAAACGACAAAGCGAGCTAGCACAAGAGCGTGCGAATTTACTCAGCACACTCGCGCTTACGGGTCTCAAAGACACGTAGAGTCTCCTCGGCGGCCTTAACACCACTCATAACCATAGCGCCGAAGGTGGGGCCCATACGGTTGAAGCCATCGATCTCAGACAGCTCCATACCACCAATGATGAGACCCTTAGCGACCTCACGGGTGTTCTTAACAATAGCGTCCTCGGCCGCGTTCATGTCAAGACCACGCATGCCACCCAACTTGTCAATAGCGTTCATGGAGACGAGACGCTTAGCGCAGAAAGCGCCGAATGGGCCGTCGTGGCCAGTGGTACTGACGATGACAGGGGCGTTGATAGTGTTGGGGTCCATGCAGGAGTGGTCGTCGTGGTGGAGGGTGACGAGGGTCCAGTTGACGACGACACCGGCGAGGCGGATGTCATCGCCGTCTGGGCGGGTGATCAGATCTTCAACACAGGTCGCGTTGAAGAGCTTCACGTTGGGGAAGGCGAGGACCTTTGACAGGAGAGTCGACGTGAACAGCGAGGCGTGCTTGACAACCACGAAGTTAGGGTTGGTGGGCTCTTCCTCGAAGGGCACGCCGAGCTCGGTCAGGAAGGCGTCTGCGGGGCGTCGGAGAACCATGGCACTGAAGAGCTGACCACCTAGCCAGGCACCACCGCCTATACAAGATGTTTGTTAGTGATACTGTGTTGGTTCTGTGGTGGAAGTCTACGAGAGTGTGTGATAGTCTGCTCGCATGGGACAAGACTAACCGGGTGACACGGAGGCCTCCACGATGGCAATCTTCAGGTCTGGACGGGCCTTGGCGAGCACGTAGGCAGTGCTCAGACCACAGGAACCAGCGCCGACGATGACAACATCGCTCTCGGCGTAGTTGTCCAGATCCTGGAAGTAGCGTCGGGTCATGGCGCGCGAGACTTGGCTCTCGCGGATAGGGGCGAACTTGAACTCATCCCACTTGTTGCCGAACTGCTCAAGGAGGTTGGACTGGCCCTGGCCGGCCAGGGTGGTGGTCACCGACTCGGGGACGATGACCTTGCCCTTGATGCCGGTAGGGGCAACAGTAGCAGACTCAAACATGGCAGCGGGAGGAGACATAATGGTTCAGAGATCAAGTCGAAGAGATGACTTTGAGCCTTGGTTAGTTTGTCTACTCTAGTTTGGGGGAGAGGGAGGGGGGAGGGCATGATCCTTTCGCTGGTATTATCCAGATCAAGTTAAAGGCCGTATAATCTCAGAACGAACCCACGCCGAAGATGAATCTGATGCCGAGAGACATTGGATCCACCACCGACGCAAGAACGAACACCGGCTCATACCCAGAAGTTACCTGAGATACCTTGATCCCTAAGGGATAATGTGCCCAGCCAAAGAGTATCCATGGCTCCCAAAGGAAGGGCAGTATGTACTTGTCCGTTTGGGATCTAAACGAGAGTCAGCCCTGAGGGTATAACAAGTACACATGGTAGTAGATAGTTACTGTTGTAATGTAAATTCGTCAATGGAATGATGAAAAGAAGAAGAAGGGAGAAAGCAGTGCGGGCATCTCAACCTTATATGCCAACAGCCATACCCCACCATCCCACCTATCGAGATGTCATACTGCTCCGACTCTCTCCGGTTTTCCGGTGAGCTCCCCGGTGAGCTACGTTGCACGAATTAAATCGCTCTCAAGTGACGTTTCTAGTCTTTCTAGCTTGTTGCTTCACGAGTGGCCGGAGCGTTCTGCCCCGGTCTTTCTCCTCCTTGCCCCACGGACTAGGTTTCTAGTGAGTACAACCGTTTATAAGTATATGTAAACTACATAATAAATTCTTGGAAACTATCAGGTAGTAACATAGTACATTGATCAAGAATTCCTATACTGTGGGATCACTGGTTTCCAGCTTGTCTGGATATATAGATTGGGCGTTTTCATGACTCTTGGTACATCGGATGTACTTTGTATGGGCGACTAGGATGGGGCCAAATTACCAGGATCACAGAATGGGAGCAATTTTTATTTGAAATGAGATCCACTTGAAGTTGCTAAGTGCGTTCGTGAATTCAACAGGAAATAAATTTCATTTTCTCTTCGAAGGCCCTGTGAGGGCTTTCTGACATCATAGTCATCACAGCCTTTAGCTGGGGCATATATAGGAGAACGCAAGAAAACGCAAGAGAATATACAGTGATCTCTGTTGGATGCAAAAATCAAAGCACAAAACGATAATTAGCACCATAATTATCCTCCGCTACCGGGACATCCACACATTTTGTTGGGTCTTCATCAACACGAGGCCCATACTTCTTGTCAAGGCGCCGGTTCTCCCATACTAGGAGCACACGCAGACACAAAGCCAGGAATGTAGTGAAGAACATAAAAGCAGTACAGATTGTCATACCCTTTATATACCTTGGGGCTTGCTCATCTGGGAAAATATTGGTGCCCAGGAAAGGACCACACTGGCCGATCAAGTTCAACAGGATAATACCTCCACCACGGCGAGTATCGGAGCCCTGGTTGTCTGCACAACACAGAACGTAACACGTCCAGTCAGTAAATGGTCTTTACACAAGAAAAAAAAACCTTAATGACCAGGAAAGGAAATGACTCACTCAGAACCCATGGCAGAATGTTGGCGATCGAGGGGAAAACTCCACAGGCCGCCAAGAACACACCAAAGTATCGTACACCCACTGATGTGCAAGTCGCGCAAAGAATATACCCCACGCCACCAACCAATGATAAAGCCGCGATCGTCAATCCACGCTGCTGGATGCGATCCGCCACCCAGGTGGTCGCGATCGTCGCCAGGAATGAGGCAAAGAACGGAGGTGCAGTGAGCCCCTGAGCGTTGATGGCCGTGAAGCCCATCTCCTTGAGAATGGTGGGTAGGAAGACCGGGAGAGACGAGAAACTGACGTTACAGCTGAAGTACATCAACTAGGTACGCGGTTCAACATTAGCAAGTCCCCCGTACAATATCCCTGATGATACAATGACGATGATGTCTGACTTACTGCTGTAAGCCACGCTTTCACATCGAGCAGCGTCATGGCTAATTCCTTCCATTGGATCTTGCCCGTGCGATTTGGTTCACCGGATTGCTGAAGTGCACGGGCACGCGCAACATCCTTCTCTTCCTCGGTCAGGAACTTCGCGTCCAGCGGGCTATCTGGCAGGTAGAACCACGCCAATATGGCGGCCGCGCAGACTGGAAGACCCTCAACCAGAAACAACAATCGCCAATTTGCCAACGCCGCATGTCCCGAAGTGATACCATACGCTAGGGCACCGGCGAATGTATTTGCCAGCGGCGCAGCAGACAGAAATAAACCGCAACGGAGACCCAGCTCATGGCGACGGTAGAAGAATGACAGCAGATAGGGCACACCGGGACCGAAGCCAGCCTCGAAGGCGCCCATCAGGAACCGGAGCGCCATCATGCCTTGCCAATTGCTGACCGCTGTCTGGCACGTTGCCATCAAACCCCTTTCCATCAGTCGTCAGTTCATAATCCATAGACTCATATACATTTGCCATCTCGGCTAATCGACAGCATTGCACGTGGGATTCATACCAGGAGAACACCACAAAGGCAGCCCATTGATGCGGTTTGACAATCTTCCACATCAGTGCTTGGAATTCAAACAATGTATATGAAATATAGAAGATTGTCAAGAGCCAAGCATAGCTTTTTCCATCGAGGTCGAGGTCCTCTTCCATGCCGGCGATTTTAGCATTGCTATGGTTTACATTGTCAGCGGATATGCTATTCTGCATGCAGGTCCAAATATGCTATTGCGGACGAACCCGATATTACTTCGGTCGAGAAAAGCGAGGAGATCTAGATATCTCAGAAATACATGGTTAGAGCATAAGTTCGTTTAATGACCTGGAGTTTGAAGCATACAAAAAAATCCCAATAACGTTGGAACACGCCAGTCCAATTTCCTTACCACTCTTCGCTCTAGCTCGGGGTCAATAGCCGGCAAAGTTACAGCGGGTGGTTTCTCCTCGTGAGCGGGCACGGCAATCTTCTCAACATCTTCATCAGGGGCTGTTTGAATTACATCATCTGGCGGCTCCTGCCTTTCCAAGAAGCCCATGGTGGATTGGAGATATCAGATGTCACAATGGACAATAGAATACTGATCTTAAGGTGAAAATAGGAGAGAAGAAAGAAAAGATCGGACAGAACTCCCGGGTGGAGGCATACTTATTCGCGGGGTGAAAGGGGAAAGAAAAAAGGCCAGGATCGGCAGAGGTGTACTACATCACATAGGAACTAATGGCCAGTTCAGCTGAGATTGGTGGGACTGCAGAAACTATTGATATTTATTGGTCACTGGGATGGCTGAAGGGGGATTTTGAGTGGAGAAGTTGGAGACTGGAAAACAGAATGCGGAGGAATTGGCAAAAGCTTAGGTGGAGAGCTGCCGCTTTGGTGTGAAAGGCCGAGGCTGGTTCACTTTGTATGTTTCCTTTCAAGGGGGAAAGCGTATATATCGTACCTTTTGTGTCTCTTTTTTCTTGGCTGGTGTATCTATTTGACTATTTAACAAAGAAAAACGAAAAAAGGGTATAATCCAGAAAAGGTGTAGAGCACAGTAGAGCACACCTTTTCCCATCTGTCAACATCTAATTTGGAAAATTCCTTATTGAAACTGAGGAGAATCATTCATTCATTATTCATTATCTCAGTCTACTTCTATAAAAATACAAGAATAAATGATTGAACGAATTTCGAGCGACAATAGGTAAAAAATAACTGGTGCCTGGAAATTCGGGTGTTATGCATGTTAGGTCCATATCGGTTACCGTATCAAAAATCTCCCGCGTAGTGTCGCGTTCATTGAACACCCCCATCCTTCATTGCTCTCGCCCTGTTTACTTCCATCGCATCCCAATTGCCTGGCTTGATTTGAATCTAATTTACTCATACCTTCCCAAAGTTGATTGCACTTGGCAATCAAGCGCCCAATATGGATGACCCGGCCACACGCATCCCGGGGCAGCTGGTAAGACCCCAACAACTTCCTATATCGATTGCCCCATGATCTGTAACCCCCCACTAACCTTGTCGCAATTATGATAGCTCCCCCACATGCACCTGGTTTCGCGCAACCGATACCCAAGCATGCACATGATGCCCTCCGAGACCGCCGTCGAATATCTGACGAGCGCACCCCGGATCTGCCAGTCCCAGCCAATGCATTGGACATTCCTCGATGGTCCCCCGGATGGGACTGTCATGCTTACATGGCAACCGCAAAACCACCTAGGCAATAACTTTGCTAGTGATGGCTATATCTGGGCCGACCAGGAACAAGCCTTTACCTTTGAATCTCGCGGCTATGTATGCATCCAGCAATGAAGCTTCCCTTCCTCCGCGTAGATTCCATTCTAATATGTGAGGATACAGACTGTTGAGATGTACCTTCACCGAAGCGGCTTCCATCCTCCCAATGAGCCCGTGGCAACACACTGCCGCAAGCGCTACCGCATTACCTCGTCCAAAATACCCAATGCACCCCAGCCCGATCCATCACTGTGGATTGTGCACTATACCCGCGCAGCGCCCCAGGACCATGCTCCAGCAAATCGAATCCAACTTACACCGCAAATCCAGGGCATGATGGGCCAGCGCCGCTTCCTTCAGAGTCAAGGTCAATTGGCCCGCAAGGACTTTTTGCTTCATGATCGCAACAACTGGCCAGTTATCAACTTCCCTCAAATGGCTCAGCAGAACTTCGCCCAACCTGGTGCTTACCCAGCCGCGGCGCCTCGTGGACCTGGTTTCTACCCTCCCCAGGGTCATCCAGGTGCAGTTGCGCCCAATGCACCCGTAGCCAAAGGGCCGCGCGGACACCGTGCGCCGTCGGCTGCCATCGCTTCTGCAACTGCTGATTTCGCTATTGAAGATGAAGACGTATCTAGTGGTGACGCTATGGATCTTTTAACGCCGCGCGATGTTAGCAAGATGCGATACCAGCAACATCACGAGTGGATGGAGGAAATCTTCGCGTCGCCATACAGCGTCTCCCAAATCACACCAGTTTCTTTGGGTCTGGGCCGAAAGGGAGAGCTTGAATCTCTTACTGCAGGCTTCTTCGATGCTCCTGTTGGAACCTCTGGGGGAGAAGGCCAGGAGGCGGGTGACGCCCCGCAGGCCAACAAGATGGAGCCGGCCAAGGCAGAGGAGTTTGCTGAGCGGGTGTCTAAAAAGGTGGCTGACATGACCGCCGAAATCGAAAACTTGAAGAAACAGCATGCTCGCCGGATGCAACGTTTCAACCGAAGCTCCTTGCTTAAGGATGCCGAGTTGCGCCTCCGAGAGTCTGCAGCCGACCCCACCGAAAAGGGCCCAGAAATTTGGAGGCTGGAGGGTCGAGTGGTCATCCCAACAGAGGATGAAACCCCGCAATTGGACTACATTGAAGATAAGGCCAAATACAGGGTTGACGAGATAGTCCGGGAAGTTGAGACTGCCTGGAATAACCAAATCGTTGCCGAGCCCAAGGTATCCTGCGTCGAGAAGGGCGGTTTATTGGAGAAGATTGAACCCGAACACAAGGACGAGCCTGAGACATTTACC